TGGACATTTTTAGGATATATTCGATTTCTGTCTCTTATACACATCTAGATGTGTATAAGAGACAGGTCCTTCTCCAGGCCCCCCTCTATTTGAAATTCCTGGATCCGCTACTGTAAACTTTAATTTGTTAATTAAGCCCTCTCCAGACACTGCCCACGGCCGCTTTCGGCGACCCTGTTTATAGTCACGGGGGACACAGGTAGACGCTGGAAGAACAAGAGCATCGAGTGATCCCTTACTCTTCCAGAAGTTGCAATGGGCTCTTTAATTTTAAACTAATCAGATAGGCCTAGGTATTAAATCATTATCGGACAAACACGAACCCTTCGCATTGACGTCAAAACTGTACTATGAATGAAACTTTTCCTTCCTTTTTGTTCTGTTTCACTTATTTTTATTAATTGCCTTTCCGGCTTTAGTTTCATAGTTTTTTCCCATGTCTATAAATGTCCATGTGTATAATCCCATATTTAATCAGGCCTATATATAATACCTATATTATATATAATCCTAATTATATAGAAGCACCCGGAACAAAAAAGTAATGGCGTATCTAGGGATTGCGTCCCCTCCCAAAAAATACTCGCCCTACCCCCAGGCGCTTCCAAAAAATCACGCTCAAGCTCTAATAATAATCTAAAATCATCTTATTTTGCGAACTAGCACCCCTTACCTGATAATCGAGCCCCAGGTGACCTTCGCCCCCACCCCACCCCCATCGGAGCCCCACCTCATGCCAAGACTCCCAGACACTAATCGTGTGTTATTGTTTGTATGTTAAACCAGCAAAAGGTTGTGGCATTTGTTTATCTTTTCGAGGAAATTAGTTATTAAATTTCTACAGAAAACACATCCATGCTCAAAACAAACACTTTGATAACATTATGGAGCTAGACCGTAGGTCAAGGATATGGGACTCTACTGCACTGATAATTGACTAAAGAAAGCTTTGGATATTACGTCAATGCACTCCTGGAACTGAAAGCAAACATAGGCTAAATATAGTAATCGAATCAAAGAGTCAATCTTTCTATTGAAAGCCTATTGAATAATTCAGCTACATTTTTACCGTATATTTTAACCTACGTTTCCTCAGGGTACAAGGGGAAAATATCTATCTTTGGAAAATCTTCTCTACCCCTTTATAAATGACCTTTTCATCTCCTGAAAGTGCCTTCGCGCGCATTTCTTGTTAACATGGGCCAATTTTCTCTAAAAAATTGCACATTTTAGGAAGTTTTAATCAATTCCAACGTAACTAGAATTAAAAACACCGGGGGACAAGGGAAAAATCCATCTTTGGAAAATCTTTCCCCACCCCTTGACAAATGCATCCTCTGAAAGTGCCTAAAATTCTCAAATTCTTTGCGCGCATTTCTTGTTAAGGTAGGCCAATTTCCTCTATAAATTGCACATTTTAGGGCTTCTTTAGGTTTATCCTTTTGAGTCATTTAAACACATAATAGTCCCAAACTCAAGAAAGACAAATTTAAGTTAGATCGTTTTAACCTAAAAGAAGTGTATTGGTGGTGAAAGGATATGTTTGTAATAAATAAAACCATGATGAAAATGCGTATATTTAGTTTCAAACACACGTGTGTGGCCTACCGGTATATTATAAATAAGATAAGCCCTATGTCGTATTTTTCTATATGGGGAGTT